GCCACGAAATTGGACCTAGGCGGCGCCTTACAGAGAGGCACTGCCAAAGCTTATATACTGGCGACAGCTGGAAGGATCACCACATTGTATTAATTCGCCCGAACCGACTGTTCTCCGATACCACCACAGAATCTCATCACTCACGGCGCTACGTGATATCTTAGCGGCCCAATAATAACTTGCATGAAGATTTTTGCTTTTTTTTGAAGATTTGCTAAGTAGAGCAGGCATTTTCTATAGGAGAAGTTGCTGAAGCCCGTCTGCAGGTCCATTTTCTCTGGCCAGGAAAATGATTATAAAACACTTCTTTGTCAAAGCAGTTTCATGCAGAAAAAATCTGATGGAAACTAAGGAAGGGGAGCTGACAGCCTGACCGATAATCCAAAGTTCACATGCTCTAGCCTCAAAAGTTAGGAATTTGCAGTTTATGTTTCTGATCCAAAATATGATTCACAAATTACGGTATTAGACTTCTGACATTTTCCTTTGCAGATGGCAGTATTCCCATTCAGACATGGTATAGTGCATGAAGTGAAGGACGAGGCCAGGCGCATGACTAGTACGCCAGAAGTTGGTGTTTCTACAACAATGTCGATTTGGACCAAGAAGTGAATGTGCGACATCTTCAGTTCAACAGTGCGTACTGAAAATCAGCCTAACCAGACAAAAACTCAGGCACTGAAAATAGAAATAAAACAACTGCTACTCCTACATTACACTTGCAAAACACTTAAAATCAGTTATCTAGAAAAAGAAGAAAAGCAACGAGCCTGATAATTATGCGCGGACTCTTTGTAATAAGTTATTAGATTGTTGATCGCGTGCACATCAGTCTTATAATTACGTTCCAGAAACAAATAAGCTGCGCACTGCATAGCCCATCCTAAACTTGTCCAGCTTCACTTTTTTTTTGAGACCGCCCAGAACCCAGAGCTTAGCTGGCTAAAAGAATATGCTGTTATTTATTCAGTTAAGCCTTACGTGCTCATTATTAGCGAAGTGAGGGGACTGCAAAAGTCATAAAGCTATGACGAGACAGCAGAAGTTGCGATCAGCAAGTGGAGAGATCTCAGAAAGCAGAAATCCGAGCAGATGTGCTCGAACAAACGGAAATTTAGCGCAAAAACCGTGTAGGTGTTTTCTTTTTTTTTTTTTCGACTGCAGAGTAGAATAACTGGCCAACGCACGGGCTGCCCGCGCGAGGATGCGTTTTTTACATAGTTTCCCGCAGTATTTGTCGCTACCGGCACCGGTTTTTTCGGCAAATGCTGCTACTTAAACAAATCAAGACTGGCCGCCAGAATTGGT